CCTTACCAACGTACGGGTAAGGGGTACGTACGTCGTCTAACTCTAACCTACCCCTACCCTCTACCCCCTACCCCCCCACCCCCCCCCGGACCCAGCTATATGGGATTACACTAGGTTTGTTGTTTGTTGTTGTTGTCTTTTGATGAGGTAGTTTTTTCTGTCACCTACTGTACTGGTGGTTTGCTTGGTGTTCTTCCCTCTTCTCTTTTAGTTTACACACCTGTGCTTTCAGTATTTTCTCCCCTCTTCTCTTTTAGTTTACACCTGTGCTTTCAGTACATTGTAGCTTTTCCATTGGTATAATTCTTTGGCCCAGGAAAAGATTTCGGTAATTCTGCTGAAAAGAAATTTTCAAGCTCTTCACAAAGCTCTCCCTCTTCTATTAGTAAAGAGGATTTCGAATTCTCAACCAATCGTTCTAACGAACAACAAAAAATTTCCCGTTGCACCTCAGATGGAGAGCTCCAACTCTAATGCTGAAAACTCGACCTTCAGTGGAACTCTTAATGCTAGTGCTAATTCAACTCCTACTAATATGCCAAGAAATGGCACTATCCAGTCCCATATTGAGGAAGTGCAGGCCGAACTCGGACAGAATGATCGTGCATCAGCTGAATTCGTGTCTAACCAGGAGGATGTAAACCATTCTTCTCATGCTGAATTTTGCTTAGTATGTCAACGAGTGATTTCTGGGAGCACGACGTTGAATTCCTTGCTTGAACATACTCATGATCTCCTTTCTGCTAATGCTGGTGGCGGAGAGAGAACGGCCGATGTGGTCGATTCATCTACACAAACCATGATTCCAGTTAAGTTTCTTTACTTTCCTAAGGTTTCAGTTGTACTCCTCTTTTCTAATTTGGTTGTTCTATATTATTTGCCTCTCTACCTTCACTAGGTAGGGGTAAGGTCTGCGCACGCGCTATCCTCCCCAGACACCACATGTGAGAATATACTGGTTATGTTGTTGTTATATATTATTTAGCCATCTGTTTTAACAAAATTGGACTCATTGTGGATATTGATTTTGGGAAAGGATATAGGGATGACCAAATTTTCTCTCAATATGACTGTGTTTAACGCTTGATTTGAAACTTAATCCTACATTTTTTAAGTAGTTTATATATTTGATGCTTAGAAAAAATTGCTTCCTAAGAAAACCTTTATTGTTATTTTCCAATAATTTCTTATTGAGTTGCATTAATTATAAATATATGTATTAGTTGATAATTCTTAAAGTCTTGCTAACTTCTAGATTTTTTTTTCATTTTTACCTTTTTTTGTATTTATATATGATTAATTTACAAAAGCTTAATTGTTACTATATTTTTCATGGGAATGTTCCCATCATGTTGTGCACTTCCTTTTTATCTGAGTAGTTTTTTTCTGTACCTTTCCAATAACCTAAATTTCAGATTATTCCATAGAAAAATACAGAGCATCACTTAATTGAAAATACGTAAATCATTGACTAAATTGGTGCTCTACCCTGACCTAGCTGAGGAACTGGAATGCCAACGCCAATTCTTTATACTCAAAACAAGGATTTTGTGAATTTGTGTCTATATGAATACGGATGGGGATGATGTGACTTTTCAGTTGAGCTTCATTTCATGTGCGCGCGTTTACTAACTTCTGTCGCTTGATTATGTAAGAGCAGTTCCATTCTCTACCTACTGTCTACCTTCTGGTTGTACCAGACTACCAGGATAAGAGCAACTCAGAAGGGTTATTTAACACAATTAAGAGATTGTTGCTCGTTATAAAATAGAAAATAAAGAAAGAAAGCTTGTCATAGATTTCCTTCTCATTTTGGTATAACCAAATGCTAAGGCTAGAATCTTCTGCTCTTATATATTTGTCGTGAAATTTTTTAGCCGGTCAAAGGGAGCCTTGGCGTAACTGTTAAATAGCGTTTTGCAGAAATGCAGGGTAAGGCCGCGTACAATAGACCCTTATGGTCTGGCACTTCCCCGGACCCCGCACATAGCGGGAGCTTAGTGCACCGGGCTGTCCTTTAATTTTTTAGCTGGTATGGTGTTCAAGGAGTCTGCCCTAAGTGATTTGAACATTTCAGGAAAGTGAAGGTGAACTGGAAGAAGAAGGTGAAAATGGTGGGCAGGATCCTACTATTGACAATGAGGTAATGCTTCGGAAACAGATAATTTAGTGTTATATACAGCATAATTTAAATCTTCCTTGAATGGATAATATCCAAATAGTTTTTATCTTTTAGCTCTTAATGGAATTGGAACTCTACGAGCATATGAGAAATGTTATTGCTGCATTGAGGCACACAACTTTTCCGGTATACATTAAGCTGCATAAGTACGACTCGTCAACATGTCTTGAGAGCGAGGAACAGTGCTGCATATGCTTGGTAAGGGGCACCTAATTTCAGAATTCACAATACCCCCCCCCCACCTCACCCCCACCCAAAGTTCATAAGCTTATGTAAGTCTGATTCCAACTTCTTCTTTTTTTTGGTCATGTGTGTCTTAGGATGAGTATTGGGACGGGGAAGAACTTGCAAAAATTGATTGTGGCCATGTATACCATATTAACTGCATCAAAGACTGGATCAAGATCGAGAACTCTTGCCCCATTTGCAGGAGGCTCGCTATGGTACATTGAGAATCCGTGCATTCCATGTGCACTCGGCTGCAACTAATCAGTTTAGTTCGAGCTGGGTGAACTAACTTGTGGCATCGTTCTGAATTTTCTTGTTTGATAAAGCTCAAGAGAGTCGAGCGAAACTTAAAAATAAGGAACCGTTCTCGGATAGAGAAAACAATGGTCTTTGGTCTTTTAGTTTTTATTTGTTTATCGGTGATAATAAGTTTAGCGAGACATCGAAGCTAAGCATAACTTTGGTACTCATGTTGGTTTGAGTGGTTGATATCCAAAAAATTTGATTCTTATGGATATTTTCTGCAGGTTTTTGAATACCTCCTTTATTGGAGCTGCTTCATTTAGTTCTTGATATAATTACTGATCTATATTCCAGTTTGCTAGGTTATGCGCACGGGTAAAGTTGTTGTCATGTGACTAGGAGGTCACGGATTCGAGCCGTCGAAACAGTCTCTTGCACAAATGCACGGTAAGGCTGCGTACAATAGACCATTATGGTCCGGCCCTTCCTCGGACCCCGCGCATAGTGGAAACTTAGTGCACCGGGCTGCCTTTTTATTCCGTTTGCTAGATTATTTGCACTGCATTGTTTGCTCAATTTATTAATATTAATATGCATAAAATTGTATGTACTAACTACATAATATATAGGTATATATGCATGCAAAAATTTCTGCAGCTTCTGAATACTTCCTTATATGGAGTTGCTTCATTTAAGATGTGATATAATTACTGAATCATTACCTTAGCTTACAGAGTTATGTGCACCTGATTACCTCCCGTTTGGCCATAAAATTTGGGAGGTTTTTTTCAAATTTTGTTTTCAAATATCTATTTGTTTATAGATTTTAACTATTTTTTGGCAGATTTTGAAAATAAAATCTTCGAATCCCAAAAACAGTTTTAGAGTAGTTTTTGAATTTTTTTCTCATTAAATTTCAGATAAAGTGCATGTTCAAACACAATTTCTAACTTTCAAAAATCATTTTTCATCTCATTTTCAAAAGTCATCTTTTTAAGTTTTAAGCAAATCTATATCTAAATGCTAGCTTAATTTGCTTTCTATCTTAGGTGCAAGTAAAACAGTTTCTTTTTTGTGTTACTACATTAAAGTTTTGAGAGAAGAATATTTACATTCAAATATATCCGATAAAGGTAAGAACAAAAAGTTGGAGGTTAATATGATCTAAGTCTAGAAGTTGGATTTATAGCACGACAGTCCCTTCTACTATTGAACTGAAAATGCCATGGTTGTTTGATTTGAACATTGAGCTATGGTTCTAAGAAAAAGATGAAAGTTTTGGCATGTATAACGTATCTTCTGTGCATTCCTTGTATATCCCATAGGTATACCAATATATCCATGTATAACTATGTCTCAGTTACATGTGTTGTAGAAAAAAGTTTCGACCCAATTTTAACTATGATTTTTGACTCTAAACCATTCCAAATACCTAAAAAATTTCCTCAAGTTTTATATAATGACTCGCATTCTCAATAAATTCAAATTATACCGAATAAAAAAAATATTTTCTTTATTTTTTGACAACTTTTTGTTGGCAAAAGATGATTAAAATAATTCGGGATTGTTACGCAAATAGCCGGTCAAATTAAATGTTTATTTTTTCTAGTCGATAAACATGGATTATATATTGGTTATCATATATATATATACCCTCAAATCATCAAATCTATCCGAGGGGGTTTTTCTAAAGTTTTCCATCTAAATTCACGGATTTAATGCCAAAACTTGCAGTAGATTCGAGTTATCTAACCAAAATTAAGTTAAGAACACTTACCCCGTTGTTCTCTCTAAAAATCTCCCGAAAATCGCCTCTCCCCGAGCTCCAAATCGTCAAAAATGGAACTTAACATTCTGTCCAGGCTATTTTTAGATTAAGACATTAGGCGGACGGCTATTTGGGTCAATTCTTCAAATAGTTAAGTGACTGAACTTTTTTGTATTTTGGGTCGTCGTCGTAGTTCTCGCATTATTCTATGAAAAATTAACCCAAATAGTCACCCACCTATTTTCTTAAACTAAAAATATGTGTAATATATGTTAAATGCATATATAATACGTGTATACCTGTGTATAATTAATGTATAATATATGAATACTGAATAGAAAAAGTAAACAGATGCACTGGCCGGCTATTTGTGTAATATTTCCTTATTCTATTGGTTGGCCCAAGCACCCAAACGGCCTACGTTGGTGTTTGGCTACACTCAACCCTACCAAGATCAGTTGATCACCCAAATAATTTTTTTTTTTTGTTGGTAATTAAATGATTTTATTTACCAAGTGTAAATATTTACAGCGTAGACAAAACTGAGCTTTCCTGCTCTCTTTACTCCCACTGGACATACAGCCCCAGTTAGGATTTTTCTACCCTTCCTACTCTTCCCCATTTCTATTTTTGGCATTGTTACATTACATCAGGATACCAATTCAAAGTGTTCATAGTCCTTCCTACCCTAGGGAATATGGTAGCTCTAACATGAATTTCCTGAATGATTGATCTGATTATGGCTTTTGCTGGTCTACTCTTCTGCTGGAAAATGACATTATTCCTCTCTTGCCAAATAAGATATATTGTTGCTGCTAAGGACATTCTGCATAGTTCTGCTCCTCCACTTCTACCTTTAGCTCTTCTTTCTATCCATGCCAGCTCTTCCCCTCCATTCTAGCTTTGTTCTTTGGATTCTTTGCCATTTTAGGAGCCGCTGCCATATAGTTCCTGTCAGTTCACATTCAAACAATAGGTGTTGTATTGTTTCAATCTCTCTTTGACATAGTGAGCATGTGGTGTCTATCTGTATCCCCCATCCTGCTAGCCTTTCTTTTGTGGCTAGCCTTTCCTGTATTGCCAATCTCAGAATGAAAATCCACTTTGGTAATCCATAGTTGTTGCAGATTAATCTCCTCCATGGTACTTTCTGAAATTCCCCTTGCATAGATTTGTACATGTGCTTTATAGAGAAGTTTTCCATCCTATTCACCTCCACCTCTGTATATCCAGCAGTGTCAAAGTACTTTCTTGCCTTGAAGATATGTTGTATGACCCATGATGCATTCTTTGGTGTTGTGTTCCATACTGCTTTCCCCTTTATGTAGTATGCACTGACTGAACCCAGAGCTTGTCTTTCTTTTTGCATATATTTCATAACAGTTTGCATATAGCTGCTTTATTCCATAGCTCCACATTGATGAAGTTTAAGCCACCTGCTACTTTTGGACAGCAGAGTTTTTCCCATGCAATCAGTGCCTTCTTTGTAGGTTCTGCATTGCCTGACCATAAGAATCTTCTGCATATTGTGTTAATGAACTGAATGATCTTCTTAGGTAGGATGAAAATCTAAGCCCAGAAATTTTGAGTTGCAACCAGTACACTCTTAATTAACACTGCTCTTCCAACATATGATAGGAATTTTGTTGTCCAGCACTGTATTCTACTCGGCATTCGATCAATTAGAGGCTCACATTAGATTACTAATAGCTTCTTAGTGCTCAGTGGTACCCCTAAATATCTGAAGGGTAGTTCTCCCTTGCTATACCCCAATATGTCCATGATTTTCTTTTGAGTCTTGATATCCACTCCTCCAAAGTAGATGCAGCTCTTGTTTGGATTTGCACTTAGCCCTGATGCTCCAGAGAAAATTTTGAATTGTTGATGTAATGCCATTACTGATTGTATGTCTCCTCTGCAAAAAAGTAACAAATCGTCAGCAAAACCTAAGTGTACTAGATTAACTTTAGCACACTTAGGGTGGTATATGAATTCTTTGTTCTGCTTTAAGGACTTCAGCAGCCTACTCAAATATTCCATTGCCATCACAAACAGTACTGGTGACAAAGGGTCACCCTGCCTAAGCTCCTTTTTCGCCTCAAAAGGTTTTGTTGGTTGTCCATTGATTATTAAAGTATAGGCCACTGTATTTTTGCACACCATTATCTATCTCACAAACTTCTTAGGGAACCCCAGTAACTTCATCATTTGTTCAATATATACCCATTCCAACGAGTCATATGCTTTTCGCATATCAATTTTAAGCATACACCTTGGTGATATGCTCTTCCTTCCATACCCTTTGATCAATTCATGGCCCATAATGATGTTGTCAGTAATCATTCTTCCTGGTACAAAAGCTGTTTGTCAGTTGTCTATGAGATCTGGCATAATTTCCTGTAGTCTTGTAGTTAAAATCTTTGATATTATCTTGTACAAAACCGTACAACAAGATATAGGCCTGAACTCCTTGATGTTGGTTGGATTATTTACTTTAGGGATCAGGTAATAGTTGTACAATTTATGACTTTTCACATTTCAGTAGTTTCAAAAAACTCCAGCACTGCTTTAGTAACTTCCTCTCCAATTATGTTCCATGTCTTCTTGAAAAAGTAGGAGTTATATCCATCACATCCTGGTGCCTTACTATCATCACTGCCCTGTAATGCTTTCTACACTTCCTCTTTAGTAATTGGTTTGATTAAGTGCATTTGCTGCTGCCTATTTAGAGTGTAACCATTCTGCATAACATCTGGATCAACTACTGGTAATGTTGAGGCTGCTTTACCAAGTAGTGTTTTGTAAAAGCTTAGGATCTCCTATTTTACTTCATTGGCACTTTGTAGAAGTTGTCATGTGCTGTCCATTAGTCTGCCTATGTAGTTTCTTGCCTGTCTGTTTTTTACACAAGCATGAAAATATGCTATGTTAGAGTCCCCTACTTTAAGCCATTTGATTCTTGCCTTTTGCTTCATGATACTTTCCTCCACTTCCAGCCATTTTGCCAGTTCAATTTTTGTCTCCTTTTCTTGTGCTATTACTTCCTCATCATTTTCTGGAGTTGTCATTCCCATTTGAATGTTCATCAGCTTGTTTCTTGCTGCTTGAATCTTTGGCCCCACACTGCTGTACTCCTGATTGTTTAATTGCTTCAGACCTTTTTTCAATTGCTTTAATTTATACCACACCTTCAGCATTGAAGTTCCCCTAATCCTCTTCTTCCAACATTGACTGACTATATTCTCAAATTCATGATGAGCTGCTAAACATTTGAATGGTCTATTTCCCATCACCATAGGGTCAGCAACAATTACCTTTAGAGGGCAATGGTCTGAAAAACCTGGTTGCATAATAGTTCCCTCCATATTAGGCCATTTTTGTATCCACTCTGCATTGACGAGTATTCAATCAATTCTACTATGAACACGGTTGTTTGTCCAGGTATAGTTCCTCCCTATTGTTCTGAGTTCAGCTAGTCCAACATCAGCTATGAAATTTTTGAAGTCTATCACTTCCACTTCTTGTAT